CGAGCCTGCTCTGCTCCAGGCTGAGCAGTCCCAGCCTCTCCTCACCAGCGAGATGCTCCAGTCCCTTCAGTATCTCGGTGGCCCCTCGCTGGACTCTCAGGCCCAGGCAGATTACTTTAACTCAAGCCGAGGTAAAAACCTGCCTCTGCACCTGCGCTTTGCCACTTCCCATTTTGGGAAGCACCACAGGTAACAAATGCCAGGGAGCGAAGCCCGGTGTCTAACCAGACGCAATGAGCGTTTTTCAGGAGTTGCAGAAGGTAAACTGACAGTCAGTACCGACCTACTGCAAGTAAAACCCCTCCGGCCAGCTTCAGGTCCAAGCAGCACAGAGGGATTTGTACCTTCACTGCATCGCTTCCCAGCTACCCTCCAGGATTTCTTGGTGTGGGTTACTTTTGGGGGGATGTGGGGGGTGTTTTAAACAGCAACTGAACGTCTCCAAGAACCTTTTCATGGCTGGGGCAAGAGCTTGCACCGCAGCACGTCTCAGAGCTTGTCCACTTGTTCTTTGCGTTTTTCTTTAACCAGTGCCCAAATCTAGGCCACTTGCTATTTTAGATCTGCCGGTCATTCAACTGCCACGGAGGCATTTTGGGAAATGAAAAATGATTTCAGTATCGCTGTTCCGCTGTAACAGATGGCTGGTTTAAAGAGGCACGAAAATAAGTTACCGAGAAAGGAAGTCCAACGCACGTCACCAACCTGATATCCAAATGTGTCAGTTTACGGAGCATGCAGAGCTCCAAGGAAATAGATGAGATTTTATTGAAGCCAAGGTTGACATCACAAACCGAGTCTTTCAGCTCCGCGATCCTGAAACCCAACACAAAGACGCTTTCATTATGTAAGCTCATGTTTGCATTCTGTTTTCTAAGTTACTGAAAAAAACCTGCTTTATCTACAAATCAAGTACACTCCATGTTTCTTGACATTTCACAAGCAATTTTGTGAAGATGATGGAAACCTCACCCATGAAAGCTGCCTGTCCTGGAGTCTTACACTTGATGTAAAAGTAAAGCTCAGAATCACGTACCTAAATGTTATCAGGAGAGTAAATTTTCTCTCACTGATTAGGAGAGTAGATTTTACTACAAAAGCTGACTCACTTAAATGCAGTTAAGAGGTATTTCAGAAACTATGACACAGATGACCATCACTGCTACCTCCTGCCCTGCATATGTTTCAACAAGAAGGCTCACTCCACCTTCTTTAGCAGTCAAACACACAGAACGAGATTGTTATTTTATTTCCATCTTTCCTTTCTGCTCCACTGTTCTGCTGTTACAAACTCCAGGAAACACAGCACTGGCTGCTCCTTCTGAAAGGGCGTTATATTAAGGTGCTTTAGCATAAAACATTTAACAACACAAAAAGTTAGCTGTTGAATCCCTAGAATAGAATCTCTGTTTTAGCCCTAAAACCAAAAGGTAATTAAATGAGAAAAAATCTCATCTCTACTGTCTGGACTGCCACTGAACTCCCTGGCACCTGGCAGCTGCACACCTACACCCTCCTACCCAGGCAACGCCACCGCCTTCAACACAGCGAGAAAGCACAGGAGGCACAAGTGTGATCTCACTGAACTGATTTTTTAGAAATCATACTGAAAAGAGGTTTTTTCCCCCATGAGAAAGATCTCGCACCTCTTCAAGTTCTATGTGCTAAAGCTTAAGTGTTCGCACACCTGGCTCCACGCATGGAAATAAGTTACTCCCACAAATGCGGTGGTATCCTTAAAAATCAGCTTTCATGATTTTCTGGGGCTACCAGAGATGCAGTAACCTTCCTCCCCACACGAAGACCGTTTCTTCCTCTTAGTGTCAAAAAAAAGCTTCTCCTCGACTGTGGGTGGTGTCACAAGTGCGACAATATCAAACGCTACATGATGGGACACAGAACCTACCAAGGAAAGAGGCACGGAAACTGTTCAAGCTTCCTTAAAAACCCGCAAAGAACGACGCTATCTGAAGCACCAGGAACCCTCAGCTATAGAACAGTTATCATCCAATGAAGTGGTGAAGCCACACATACTATCCTTGTACGGGAAAAAGACCGCTTTGTGGAGAAACCAATACCACACTGTGGTCAAGTGCAGCACTTCATTATCACAAGAAATCGCACCCATCTCCCCTCATTGACTCCGACAGTGCTTAGCAAAGCAAGCTGGAAAACAACAAGTACCGACTACAGACGAGCTTCTTTTTCCTGCCACCTCCTGTTCACCACCAGACCCCCCCGCGCGCTGTGCCGCTCGTACTAGGAGCACAACTGCGTTGTTCAGCGTCTCGGTCACACCTCCGTGTGTGGGTGTGTGCACGCATACGCAGCACAAAGCACAAATATACTTGACTGGGAAAAACACAAGAGAGTGAAAGTGGAAAAAAAAGTAACGAGCAGCGCATGACCTTTACAAAAGTAGTACCTTGGAGGAATTTCATTCAGCTGATTCTTGCTGAAGTTGACGGTGGTGACAGGATTGCTCCCGACTGCGTCGAACACCTCACCAGGAATGGTAGCCGCCTGTTTCTCACTAAACAACAAAAAGCATGTAGCTGAGCAACATGAAGGCATTAATCCATTTCCCATTTATTAACAAGACATTTCCATCTTCTTTTAGAAAGAGAGGAGCGGTAGAACAGATACATAAACATCCACAATCTGAAACCCTTGAAGGACCGTTAATCAGAAAGCTACCGAGCGCTGCGCCATGTCACATGGCACCTGGGCAATGACATTTCACCCTGACCTGTCACTTTGCTTCAGAAAAACCCGTAAGAGCCGAGTTACGTCACCACCTCAGAGGTGTGAAGGCTGCACACTGGGGCAGGAAGCGTGGAAGATTGGCATTGAACAGACTTCCCCTCTCGGCTCAGGGAACGCCTCGGCACAGGGACACGTAACTCGGTAACTACTCGGTTTGGCGCTCTGTGGTGACCAAGGCCAGCCCAGCCCTCTCACCAGCGAGGCCCTTTCCCCGTCCCAGCTCTCAGCAGGACTACGCCTCTCAACCGGCAGCTCTCAGCAAACAGGGTTTTCTTCCCCTTTCCCAGACTAACAAGTTACGCTCTTGGTTCCAGAAAGAACTGGAGAGATACCCACTGCTACAAGGTGTTCTGAGACTTAAAGGAGATCGCTAAGGAAGTTCAAGGAGTACTAAAAGCACTCGAAGGTATTAAGTGTTCCAGTGAGTTAAAGGAATGTTACTGTGAGTATCTGGTAATACAAAGAAATATTTTTTTTTAAACCTGTAATTCAAATCTGCCTACTCCTGAGCGCACAAATTGAAGCGGAAAACGCATAAAAGCAGCAGGATTTGCAGGCAGCTTGGTATCACGAAGGGGGGAAAAAAAAAAAAAAACTGGGCAAAACCCAGGAAAGTGTTCTTACAACTTTAGAAACAGGCAATATTCCAAAACACATACCTATAGTCCAGTAATTTTAGTGACGTTATGGCGTGCATGTTAATCCTTGACTCACTGGGAAGGGTCATGGCTGTCACAGGAGGCTCTCCATTCGGGCTAGTTACATCATCTAGAGATAACAAACGTACACAGTGACACAAACGACAGGCTGCAGTCAGATGTGGTAGTCTGAATGACCTAGACGGAGAGATTTAGTGTCCCAAGTCAGCCATCACCCTTTTTAATTCTTCCTGTATTCTGTCCCAACTGAATGTAATCTGATCCAGATTATTTCAAGAATTTTCTAGTAAAGGATTTTTGTAATCTTGGGTTTCTGGGTTGTTTTGTTTTTTTTTTAGGCTGGGTGGAAGGGAGAGGAGTTGACTTGGACTTTGAAAAAACAGGTCAGGAAGCCACACAGATGTCAGTAGCTCGCTGCTACATTAGGCAGCAGCCTCCAAGGGGTGGGGACCTAGAAACAGTGACAAACAGGGAATTCAGGCTAGAAGCAATGATCCAGATCACCTATATCCAGAACAGCAAATCTGACCCCAATTCCAGTTAAAACATTAATATTTATAAACTTTCATCACACCCTCCTCTCTAGAGCTCCTGTTGATTGCTATCCTCAATCCACACGAACAGCTGTTGCCTTATCAAGGCTACTCTGAACCTGTGAGAAAGGCGATTAAAAGCGTCGTCCTGCACACCCGAGGTGCGGCATCACACCCCAAGGACTCACACACGCCTAAGCAGGGTGAAGCTTAGCTAGACCTCCAAACACATGATAAATCCAACTTTCACCAAGAGAAACTGAACAAAACTCTATGGAAATTCAGCAGCATTGATGAGTAACAGTCTGCTAACAACTGCTCCTAACCACAATTAGTTATCCTTTCATCAAGAAAGGTCAAAAGGGTCAAAACCAAACTGAAACAAACCAACGTCTACAGAAGTAGGACTGCTGCTGTTTAGCTCTGACTTAGATGCCATAACAGATAGAGTAAAACCATGAGCATTGCTGTACATGCAAGAATTCAGCTGATTTTATTATCCACAATTGTATCATCTATTGTAGTTCACCAAGTAAGCTTCTCAGCGTGTACTCTACTATCCAATTCACTCTTGCCAAGTTAATATGTCAAATTTGCACCGAACCTGATACTGTGAAGCAATTTTATATGCTGCAGTAACCTAACTAATACTGCCATCCTCTGGCAGACGGGGAGAAAACCCACTGAGCAAAAAGCGAAAATCACACATGCCATTTTCAACACAAGTCGCTTGCGTGTATTATCAAGGCCCCTTCTAAATTAAGAGGTAAAGGACTGTGTGCCATTTAAGTCCAGCAGAATCATTCCCCTATTATCTTTAACCTGACCAGTGAACTCGGTAATTCATGTTTTAAAACTTAAGAAAGACGAAGATTTCTAAAGATGCTGGACTGAAGTCCTGTTTTGAAAGGATTTCATCTTCTCCACATGGAAGTTGCTGAAAGGCTCTGACAGCCTGTTTCCTCTATAATAAAAAAATACACTTTCATCTCCTCTATTTTGCTTAGAAGACAGAGAACAAAAAGAAAACAACCCAAATGCCGAAGCAACTCAGTGAATTAGAAGCCCAGGTATCAATCTGGAAAGGAACTTGAGCGCACAGGAGCGCCGAGCAATTTTTTGTCTGCTTTTTCAACACTATCAGTTCATCTTTACAAAGTACCGTATATCTGTTAAGAGAAATGTGATACAGAATCATCTGGGTGCTTTTTGATCCACAGGGGCAGAGCTATGAACCCAAGAGAGGATTCTGCAAAAAAAGGAGAGCACTTGTGCAGAGCAGGAAAACGCATAAAGAGACCAGGCAAAAATACTTAAGACTTTTTTTCTACATGATAATCGTCAATAAGGCACGTTTGTTATTCAGTATTATCTAATAAAGTAAGAAAAAGAAACAGCACTGAAATACAAGAGCTTTACTGATGAGTAAAGACAACTCTGTTATTGCAGGGTAACAGAAGGAACCTGGATTTAAAAAGCGACTCTCCGTAGGTTCCAATTTATTTTAATTTCTTAGAAGGATTCTGTCTAAAATGAAATGCAATAGAGCAACATACCTTGGATTTTGCTTCTTAGGTATTTCAGAAGTTCCTGGGTGCCTTTCTTTAAAAAAAAAAAAAAAAAAAAAAAAACTAAGCATCTGCCAGCCAGTGTTCAAATAGCTGTTTTGGCAACAAAGAATGACAACTCCAGTCACATAGGTGCAGCCCACGGCACTGCTGACTGTAAAACTCACATAACGCTGCTCATAGAAAAAACCTCTTTGCAGCAGTTTATGAATTTGTTTATTCACAATTTTGTTTATTTATTCCAGCTGAAAACTGCCAGTCCTGCATCACTACCTCAGGCTCAACATTTTTACCTTTTTAACTAAAGTAGGTGCAAGGAAGAAAGTTCACATGAACTTAATCTTCTCTTTAAAAAGGAGGAGCACAGTTGTGCTTTGGAGAAGACATTTAAAATTCATCAAGGAACTGACAGTTCAGTGTTCTGGTAACTTTTTATGTCCAAAATTACAAACTCTGGCAAAACCACTGCCGTTTGCATAATTTGCATGGATTTTTAACAGCTCGGTCCCCCAAAGATTTGACTTTCAATTCTCTCATCACAACTTCTACTGGTCAAACACAGTTACTATCTGTATAACCTAGCACTAATCAAGCATAATCTCATCTAGCCCATTTGTTTTAGGATAAAGCTAGGTTTTCCTTATGGATTTGATGTGCTTCTCCTTAATGTGTTAAAAGCAGGGACTGAACTAAAGCGTTGAGTATGAATGCACATTTCTTGTCCTAGCTGACATTTGTATTACACGCAACACGAGACTGGTTGATCTGAATGCAGAGGAGACACAGAAAAGGTGAAAGCCTGAAAGGAAGGAACTCTCACAAGGAATCCAGTGAGATGACAGAAACGGAAGACACAAGACAGAGAGAGAGGCCGAAGAGACTAGGACTGGCTGCCGGCACAGCTTGGCGCAGCACGTGCTGAGGTGAGCAAGGTAAGAGAAGCCAATATGGAAGGACAGGGAAACTTTCAAGGAAAAGGTGAAGGTCAAACAGAAAGCTGAGTAACAGTCCAGTGGTTCGCATGGAGTGGAAAGCAGACAGTAAGACAAAGCTCAACTGCCAGGTGATGGTACATTACACAAAATGGAAAGAACAGGATTTAAGGGCAATTGACTGGAAATCTATCACAAAACAAGAAGGAGAAGCCTGAGAAACAGGAAGAGATGAGACAGAGAAGAACCTGTGCCTGCTAGACAACACTGACCCCCCAGTCCCTGCCAATCCTTAACCTCAGTATTCACCTACTGCTACAAAGTGCCTGGGGAACCCTACAAGCTTTATCAATTACTCAATCAAGTGTAAAAAAAATCTGGGTAGGCATAGAAAATTCCAGTTACATGAATTTACAGTGTGGGTAATGGATCAAGACAGCGTAAGCCTAAAGTGCCATCAAGGAATCCTTCTACCTGTCGTTTGCTACGAACTTGAAACATACACAAGAAATTCCACACATCCATGCTCTTACATCTGAAAGACAGAGAGTTTTAAAGTACCCCAGCGCTTTGTAAACATTTCTTTTATAACACTGGCAAAAGCACAGAAAGAAGCAATGTTCACCACCACTGAGAACAGGGGCCTGGCAGGGAAAAAAATCAAAGGGAATTCTACAGCAGCAGCAGCAGCACCCAGGCCCCAGCCTCCCCGCTGCCCTAGGTACTCGGTTGCTCACGCACAACTCGCACCACCACGTGGCTCATTACCTACAAGGAGAACGCAGATCTGAGGCATAGGTTGCCCTTAAGAAAACATAGTACAGCAGCTCATGATTGCTCAAAATGGTCTGCCATCAAATACGCTTTGGAAATCGAATCCTAGATCCTTAATTCAGGCAAGCAGGAAATAAAGAATGGAAGTCTGTGCTCATCTACGAAAAGCCTGATGTAAAGTACTTGCCTAACACTGCCACAAACTGTGACTGCAGCAGTTCTCTGTCTCTTCCCAGACATCCATTGCTTGGTTTGCAATATGTATTACAACTTTTGTAGCAAATCAGAAGCGGGTCCATAAAGCAATGACCTCCTTTATTCCACAGCCCTCTGGGTGCTATGCATTGCATCCGACTCCAGTGGAAAGAGTTCCCAAATCACCACACACACCAACGTGATGGATTAAAGCTGCACAGGCTACCTGAAATCTGGATGTATTCTCATTTTTTTCCAACGGTCTGGCTACAGGATTTGGATAATGTACTTATGCAACATCACCAAACTTTATCTACTGCCTAGTGCTTACTTGCAGAAGGTCTCTTCGAATGGTTCTCAAAGGATTTCCCTCTAATGCCAGGAACTTCAGCTGAGGAAGGTTCCCCAACGTGTAAGGCAACCTGCAAATGGAAACAACTCATTTCAAAGTAGCATCAAAACAATTTCTAAAGAATCTGCAGTGCTTTGGCAGACAGCCTGGTATTCTGAAGCTCAGGTTCAAATAAAAAGATACTGCCCTTTAAAAAAGGCACGGGTTGATCATAGCAATTACACAACACAGAAAGGGTTCCTTCATTCTATGATTTGAGTCCTTTTTTAACTATATTTTACAAAGTGAAACACATCAGCTATAGAACTAGTTGTCGCTAGATGTCATTAGATGCCTCATCTCAGACATAACGTGGTGTTTAGTATTACCTACTGATATCATTGTTGGCGAGGTCAAGTCGCTCCAACTTCTGAAGCAGAGTAATTTCATCAGGAACTGATTTCAACTTGTTGTCTCTAAGTTCCAATACAGAGAGGGAATTCAGATGCTTCAGACTCTCTGCATTTAGGATTTCAATCTGATTTTCGCCAGCATGTAATTCCTGCAGAAACAAAGACCATCCACAATTATGTTACTCTAATAAAAGTACTTTGTAACTCACTAATCTCCTGAATCGTGACACCAGCAAAAACATACAACGACATGGAGAAAATACAGATCTCTATTCCCTTTCATCTGCATATGAAACATCAATGCATCCAAAGACCCAGAGACACAAGTCTGAACTTAGCTCTTCTGAAACCATCACAAAACCTCAGCTTTGAGTTCAATTTCCAAGCTAGGAATAACTTTGCTCCACTTTTGTCAAGAACTGATCAACAACTTCTTTACTCAAGAACACAGGAAGTGGACAAGGTAGCTCTCCATCTCCCTACTGGAAATGTTTCATTTATAATGGAAAAACGGAATGGTTCTTTAGACTAAAGACCGTCCACATGCTGCTGGACACACCAAGACACTGAACTTCAAGCACCAACACGAATTTTGTTAGAAAATGCTGAAATAGCTTGGGATTTTAACTGCTGAGTTCAGAGTTACGCAGAACTAAAGTGTCTGCATCCTTTGATGGATCTGGTCGTTGGAAACAACACAGTGACACAGGCATTCACCTGGCCCAATCATTCTTCTATTAGTTGGGTAACAAGTCTCTGATGTTCTGAAAAAGGTGATTTTCAATTCTAAACATATTGGGAATTACGGCTACAGAGTATCTGGAAGATCTGATTACGCTAAAAGGAAAAAAAAAAGTATACTTTGTCTGCAGTTACAAAGAAAAAAAAAATATAATGAGCAAAGTAGATTTATCCAGAAAATGTTTCTAGAGATAAAAAAATAACTGTTGCAGGCAATACTAGATCCAGTTTTTCAGTCTCTTCTAAGTATTTCTTTTATCTTCCAAATCTGAAGAGTAATGCTGCAAATTTGTCTTCCAAATGACCTTACAATTGACCAATGTGGACAGTAGAGTAACTGCAAACGGGTATGTATTAAATAAGAGTTCTGAACAGAGAATTACCAACTTTCGGTCACAGCACTTAACAAAAATTTCTGTTTAAAGTAACAGTCATTACTTTAGAAGTCTACAGTAAATACATTTGCAGTATACCAACCATTTCAAACCTTACCTTCAGTAACATGCATGAGGGGAATTCTGGTAAGGAGCGTAGTTTATTTTTTCTCAGATAAAGTTGTTCCAAAGACGCCATAGTCGCTAATTTAGCAGGTACAGTTTCCAGGTAGTTTTTACTACAATCCAGTTGTCTCAAGCCTACAGAAATAAGAATGCAGTGACAAACAAAAATAAGGGAAAACAAAAACAGTTTTCTACAGAAGCCCTGAAGTAGAACATGCTGGGGTTTCAAATAAACACAACAACATTTTGGCAAACAGCATTTTGGAAGAAATCACATCAGGTAGCATCAACGTTTCTGAAAACAAGGCATCTGCTCTTCATTATTCTTCACAGAACACTCTGGGATGCTTTCAGTGACACTGCCAGACACTAGCTCTTCTCAAGAAAGGGTCCATTATTGCTGACCATCTTGGAAAGATCCACATGTAATTTCTACAGCATTTATAAAAGCTGGCACTCTGCTGTCTGTTCCTGGAGAGCTGCCACTGCTATTAACATATACATTTCCTATCAACCACTAGTCACCTTGATATTTAACATTCAAATGTTAAAAGCCACCTTTATCACTCTTGAATTCATGGTTTTTTTCCTCTCCAGTGATTTCAACCCTCTCTCATTTATGCTTTATTTTCCACTCAAAATATGCAAGAAAGAAAAAAAAAATTGTCAAACTGCTTATTGTGGCCCTAAGGCTCATAACTTCTAAGCAGGACAGTGTTAATCCTTATACTTTTCTGATCATCCCACATCCCATTCATCAAGAAATACGAACCACAAGAAGACTCATGTTTGATATACAGTAGCTGTAGCTGATTTTTCTAAATAATTCTGAACTAATATCCTTGAGAATACATTAAGTCTTTAAGAATATATTTTTTAAATCCTGACTAATATGCACTGTATTTCTGAGCATAACCACATAACTGGCTGCATGACATTTAATAACCTGAGAAAACTAATTTACTTTTCATCGCACTGATATCTGCAGGTAGGTTCTGGAGTTGATTAGAAGCCAAATTGAGTCGCACTAAGTTAATGAGCAAAGCAAAACTTGTTGGAATGTCTGTGAGATGATTGTTGGACAGATCCTGAAGATTAAAAAAAAAAAAGAGAGAGGAAGAGAGAGAGGTTAGAAATAGAGATGTTTAAAATATCCCACGAGTACTGCTACTGCAAAGTTAATTACTGGCAGAACATTAAAATTAGACGGCTGACATCCTCTGGATCTCCCTGGTAGAAATGTGAATAGAAGAAAGATGTCTCCTGTGACTGACAGATCACAAGGGATTGGATTTTTCTTAAAATATTTGGCAGACCAAGAACAAAATTTGGTTTCAAACAAAAAAAACCACCCCACCATGTAATAGCTGACAACCAATGCAAGTCGTTAGAATATTCACAAAGCTATGGGGTTTTTTAACTAGCAGCAGCAAAACATGGATAGATCAGCCCTTCTGCACAACAAAGTATTTTTCAAAAAGTTGTAATTTACTAATTCTTCCAGACTGGCAAGCTGTCCAAATCCATCTGGCAAGTGACTCAGCTCATTGTGATGAAGAAGAAGGCTCTTCAAACATGACAACTGCATCAACTCTTCTGGGATACTTTTCAGTTTATTGTGGCTAGTATTAAAACACAGAACACAAAGGGAAAAAGCAATTACTGCGTGGTTTTAAGCACAGAACTGCACACAGAACCTCCTGTCACACGGGACACTATCCAAACTAGCATTACAAAACTTCCATCAGTCGGATTATCCTGGTCACACATGGCCTGTTGAAACACAAACTCTTCAGACCCTCGAGCGTGTGTGAAGCACATCCAGCAGCAGATACGTGGGACACCCTGTGCTGGCACAGACTAATCATCAATCACATCTGCAGTGAGACAGGCTCCTGTGAAACATTCCCGCGCTGCAGCACGCACGTACACTTGCTGTTCAGGACACCATCACCTCTGAGAGAAAGCTGTCTCCTACAACCCTTACAGCCCTCTACAAAGGATCAGTTTCCTGATCAACATTATTTATTTGTTCAAGAATACTGTTAATCCTCATTTGAATTTACAGTATTCCAGCTGGATCTTAACTTTTTTTTTGTTTTACATAGTTCACACACACAGTGGCCACAGGCCCTCCTTCTCCTTGCACACAAATTTCCTCCAGTAAACAGAAGATTATGAACCTTCCAGCATGAATGAGATCTACACAACTATTTCCAGTGTATACTATTCATGAAAAAAAAAGTATTTTTATACCCAAAACTGCCAGACTGAACCAAATGAATGTAGACACTGGTTTTGTTTGATTATTCAAAATATTGCTGTTTTCACCTTCCAAGCAAGACTGCGACTTTGAGTACCAGTGAAAATAATTTTAACAAACCTAAGATCATCAGTTTTGATCCCAAACTTACAATTCTCAATACACTAATATTCCCTAGTCAAAAAAAAAAAAACCCTGAAGTTAATTTTCTGAAATAAAATTTTATATATTGCAATCTCTTATTCACACCATGAAAGTCACTGCAATATTCCTCATGTTCCACTTCTGCAGCATGTACTTACCTAACATCAAGTTTCTGAAGATTTTCTAATTGTCCTAAAGCAGAAGGAAGTGATGTCAGTTGATTATCATGCACCTGGAAAATAAAGTTTTTAGAACACAGTTACTAATTTGTACCTTCT